TGCACAACAGAAGATGCATCATCCCCAGCCATTCAATGCCTTCCCTTCCTTCCCTCCACCCCCACAAGTAACCTAAATGAATAATCCACAAAAAATTAATTTCTTCTAAGGTAAGTCACTGGAGACTTTAACTAATGATACAACATTATGAAGTGTTATCTAAAAATGCGTAGTCTTATCAACTGCCCTTGAAACAGTTTAAGAGAAAGTTTCAAAGATATTTTGAAAAAAGGCTCCAAAATATATGCAATAGTAATCTCAAAAGATGTACAATCAAAAAAGTACGGTTGAAGGTGTCACAGAAATCAGGAGTTCAGCCTTTAAATATATGATTATGATCAGCCATTATAATTTTTGTGGGTGGAACAGAAATATAAACTTTTATGTAACTTGTTTTTATTAGTATCACAGCAAAGCAAGCAAAAGCTTATGCACATAAATTGACTACTTTCCAGCATTTATTAGCTCAGCAAACTAAACAGCATTTTAAATAAGCTGGTCAGAAGTTAAGTATTTTTACCATCTTACCATTTTAACAGTGCTCCCCTAACCCTTCTGCAGAAAACAAAAATAATAAAACAGAATTAACCTGATTCTTTCAGAATAAAATTATATAATATTGCACAAATTAGAAGAATCACATTTCATATTTACAATTAAGATTTCTGTTTGTAATCTCATAACTACTTATTTTCAGATCCAATCCATTAAACTGAGGGAGTGTGCCCAGCTCTTCAAGTGCCACATAATTTAGTTCCTAATGCTTTTCTGAGCTCTCTGGAAAACTTAATTTTATAAATGCAATTTGTCAGAGTATCTTGTTCGTAGGATTTTTGGCTTTTGTAAAATATTTTAATATACTCTGTGTATTTAAAATATGAAGCCACAAAAAATTACTATATGACTAGATTTTTCCCCAGACAGGGCCTCTCTTTGTGTCACCTTTCTCTGTCTTATGGGGATTTTATAAACAGAAAATTTTCTAGGTTTTTGCAGAGCAGACAAGCTGCAACTCAGAAAAAGTCCTTATTTCTCCACTTCTCAGTTGTTCCCTACCCGGCACCCAATTTGTCCATTCTCCTGAAAGCCACAGCTGCTACATCTCACCTACCCAGGTCCTGGATGGATCTCAGAACTAGAGCAAGAGATCCCACAGGCAGGTGCTGACTGATAGCTGTTGCTAGATCTTGGGCTTGCACATGCCACTCTGCCACAGTGACAGGGAGCAATGCTGCCCCCCACCTCAAGTGAGTACACCAACACAGGAACCTCCTCCTGTACCCCTAACTGTACCCCCAAACCTATCCCTCCTCTCCTTCCCACAGATCTCCCCTTTGGCAGTGTCCTCTTTGTGAACCTGAGGTATAGTAAACCTAAGCAAAGCTTTAGCTCCCCATTGTGTTCTATAAGCATTTCAAAATAAACTACACAAAGCTCAGGTATATTGTTTGCAATGAGACATGATAGCATTGAGTTTCAGTTCAAACTATTCCCTTGCTAATTTGAATATAACTGTAGGCCTGCCCTGTCATAAGTAATTTCAATCATTCCTTAATGGGCATGATTGGGAAGGTGAGTGGTAGGTTAGACTGTAAGTAGGATCTTAACATGTAGTAGCATGTTGGAGTAAGGATGTCTGTGCTAGCAGGAACATCTTGATATTAAGACAATGGACAAGATAAACATGGAATGCAAAGATCAGGTTCTATATGACCAGCAGATTGTACAGGGATAGATTCCTGAAAGATAATGAAGCCAATCAAGACAGGTGATGCAACTTATATGTAAATGCATATAAAGAAAGAGGGTTTCCGTGTAACTTTGGTATGTGGTATGCACTATACCCATTCCTTATGCTTGAATCTGATTTACTCAGCATAGCTTTGCTATATGCAAAACTAAGCAACGGCTAGGTACGGCTGAGGGTACAGCTAGACTGCGAGGATCTATCGGAAAAAGATACACAAAATGTGTATCTGTTTCCGATATTTTTGTCAGAAGATGCTTTTCCGAAATTTGGCCCATATAGACTGGGCCAAATTTCAGGGGGGAAAAAAAACTCTTTCGAAAGCCTCCTTCTTCCTCATGGAACGAGGAATACGGGGGCTTCCAAAAGCGCACGTTTGCTCTTCTGCTAAAAAAAAAAAAAAAAAGCGCAGAAGAGCAAATGCATTCCCTGGACGTGGTGGAGTTTTTTCACAATATCTCTGGTATCCAAACCCCTCCACCCCCCAGTCTAGCCGTATAATGAATGAAGTCTATTCCTGGATCCTAAAGAAACGGATGAAGTCTTCTCCCAAAACTGGTGAAGGTGTTCTGGATAAGCTGAATGCAAAAGGTCTCTGAGGGAAATCCCAACAAAAACAAACCTATTTTAAAAAATACTAAAATAAATTAAAGCTCACCAAACTTATTAGGACCCTGAAGACCTAAGTCTCTCACACTGTCAGATGATAATAAAATTATTTCAAAGCAATGAAACTAAGTTTTATCATAGACTTTTGGAGTGGGATTTTACAACTGCTGAGCACTGACGTAACACTGCTCCTACTGATGTCAAAGGGAGTTTTACGGTACATCAACACCTCAAATTAATGTGTAAATGTAACACAGGAATACCCACATTAGCTATAATCAGGTTACTGCGTAACAAAGACACCAGAGATGTAGGTGCTTCAGCAATGACTATAACATTGCCCATAACAAGCTAACTATGGACTCTGGACATGTTCTCAGGATGCTAACACACACAGAAGTCTGTGCCAGCACATCTTCGCTACGATTGTTACCCACAGAGGCTATATTACAGTTAGTGCAGATATATGTGCCCACACTACAGTCACATCTTAATTCACAATGTAGACATATTGTTGATTTCAACAGGAACGGAGTTAAGGACAATAATAAGCACTCTTTAAAAAACCCATCCGAGAGACGAACTCTAGTAGGATATCTTCTAGTCCATCCCTCTGCCTGTTGTCTAAGGTATTTTCTACTGTTCTAATGGTCTTCAGCTTTTGGGACCTAGGTGGTGCCGGATTATCTGATATGCCGGACTATCAGGAGGTACTATAAGATGGTTATTTTTATATACATATACATATATACACACACACACACACACACACACACACCCCATACAGTATATAAAGTTTTTTTTAACCCTTTTTACTGTACATACTGTATACAGTATACTCTAATGTTTTAGTTTTTTTAAACCCTTTTTTTACCCTTTTGTTTAGTTCAGTTGATGCCGCTGCTGCCTTGTGACTCGTTTTTTGCCGAAGCTCATTCACTAGGCTCTTGCCATTTTGATGCCGGACTATCGGGAGTGCCGTACAATTAGATGCCCTACTGAAGTTTTACTGTATGTCTTATTGATGATTAACATTCATTACACTCAACCAGACCTTTCCCTCTCTTCATTTCATTTTACTACTTTACATATACCCTACACTAAGTAATTATTTCCAATTTTTGATGTCTGCAATTCCCTAATATTTCTAGACAAATTCTGCATCTCACTCTGCAATTTAGCTGCAGTTCAACACGCCAGCTATGTTTATACTTTCATTAGTCTTATTTTGAATTGTGTATCAATGCTGTCTGAGTTACAGAACTATTTATATATCGTTAAAATATCCATGTCAATTCAAAATTTATTTAAAATAAAGCACATGAAGTTTCAGCTAGATATGACAAATTAAAACCCTGTGATCCAAGGTTTCATAGTGGAAATTTTTTGAAACATAAGCATAGGAAAGTTAGAAGCCATCATTAATAAAGTCCTTATGGTCTTTTCAATAATAAAAAAATCTGAATATACCATATTTGTATTTTTAAAATGAGATCTCAAGTCAAGGATTCTGAACTACAGAAGAATGAAAGCTTATTGAAAACCTTCCTTTCTATAACAATTACGTTAGTATCAACAATCCATGCATGATAAAACAGACTTTGGAAACATGCATTAATCAATTTCACAGAAAAAAGATTAACCTTTTTAAAATGAAATCATGTTTGTTCAATTTGGCAAGAAATAGAAGACATTAAAATCTACTTTTTGTGGAGTAACCTTTAATATATTCAGCATTACATTAATACATATTCACAATTTCCCACATTCATAAAATGCCCACTAAAAAAATCTCTTGAAAACAAGTCAGAACAGCCCTGAGGGTGTGATTATTATACAAAAAAATTAGACTGAAAACTATTTCAAATTACACAATCATATTGACATGCTATTTCCTGAATAAGGTATGTTAACTAACCTACAACAAATAATTTCTATAATTTTACAAGCACTATTAATAAAGTGCTTCTAATTAAATGGATAAAAAGCAAGTATTTGAGAAATGAGCCAATCACAAAATTTATTTTAAAGTAAAAATATGAATAATTAATCATAATAATTCATAAGAACTCTCATTTGTATAATAGCTATATTAGTAAGGATTAACATATCAATATATATTTACATAACATTAATCATGCCAGAATATCTTGTAATCAAGCCCATTACAAAATGCCTCAATTAACGCTTGTTAGAAGGACAAATGTTTGTAAGGGGTAACAGTACAGCTTACTATAGTTAGTTCAGCAACTTTAGTATACAAAATGCGCAAACTGAAGTAAAACTATGCAGAAGCCAAATATATAATTGCAGACAATTTTTATTTAATTGTTTTATCCTAAGCATAATTACACAAATGTGTAATGTTAATTTCCCTGTCACAAAATGAAGAAAGTCACTGAAAGGCTTTTCAAGTAGTAAAACTAGATCAAATGGCTGATTTTTAGCTCATATTTAAATAATGTTCAGGGTTTGGTCTGTTTCCTTCTCCACCAACTGCCATAAAGTCCTGCCATAGTAATACTGATTATTTCATGAACATTTTCACAGGCCAATAAAATTAGCCCCTGATTTAGTCACTGGTTCTGCAAATCCAAAATAACACAAGTCTTTTTTCCCTGAACCCCTTCATTCTGTGACGTACCATCAACATCATCAGCAGCTTCGCTCTCTTCTTCTTCTAGCATTTCAAAAGGAGTCATTACATCATAGAGAAATGAGAGGAAGCCATAAAACCAATCAGAGCTTTCCTCTGCTAAAATATTAAGGACTTCCTCAAGGGAATCAATATTTTCATTACTGCCATCTTTGGTCAAGCCTACACAAGAATAGAGGAAAGAGAGAAAGAGAAAAAAGGAGAGCAGTTAGGTGGAAAAAGGAAACTGAAGAAGGGGGAATCTATGA